GCTTCTTTCCCTCCAAGACTTCTTGAACAAGTACTTGCAGTAGCATGTTGAAACGCTGGGTGGCCTGACCCGTAAAGAGTAGACGAAATTATAAAATATGGTTTTGGTTTAAAAATAGCTTAAGTCGTATTAGAGTACTGGTTAATGTGCAGCAGGATCTCAAGGTATTTGACGCACCAGAATGCTGACTATTAAGTGCGCGTTTTTCCAACAACCTACAAAGATTACACACGCTAATACATGCCTACGTAAGTAGTCGAAAATTTCCCCGTTGATCTTCGGTGTGTTTATAAATCCAAGTACATTTTTGGTAGAAGGTATGATCTGATAGTTCAACCGTCGGTTTCGACGATGTCCACCATGTGCTCCACAGCAAGGCGGAATAAGGACGGTGACTTGGGCGTGATTTACTTTATAGTTAATGTAGACTTGCGCAGCATCTGCTGCACTCTCTCCTCCCCCACCTGGACCCGGTGTCAAGACAGAGTCAAGTAAATCGGGGACGAGGGAGGGCGCGGGTGGATGACACGGTCGAGCCCGCACCCTGGCGCTCCACACCCCTGGTCCACACAACAAATAACCAGGTTTTTTGACCAACAAAGAATGGAGGCTGGCACTGTCGAAACCGCACCTAGGCGTGCCGCCACACCCGGCCCGTATCCCACGGAGTGGGAGTACCATAAAGGCCACATTAAAAAGGAGTCATTGCAGCCTGATTCTCAGATCACCAGCCGGCCAGTCCTCACAAACACACAACACCGGGCCGACTGCGATGGCAACCTTCCAAGCCACGGCTTTTAGCGCACCGTGGACTGAGTTGGGGCGTCAGTCAGCAGCCCTCTAGCTAACCCACCGTAATAGTCTCAGGCTCGAGTCACTCGTGCAGCAGAAGTCGTACGGAGACCGTGTCGAGACGCACACTTCCTACTTGCTCAGGAGGTGACAGTTGGGTGCTTGTGACAGGTGATGCTAATGTGCGAGGAGGATGTGACGGTGTGGTGCGGCCGGTTTTCGTGGATGCGCATGTGGCCGAATAGGCCCATGCGGTTCACGAATGTGCGAGGGCAGTGGAGGCGGATGCGGCGGCTGTAAGTCGGTGCTCCAGGCACTGGTTCCCCAGTCTCTGTACGATGGATTCACAAATGACCGACCAGGCCGATGTTTGGTGTGAAGGTGTGGTCGCAATGAGGACAGGTATAGACTAGGTCTTCACCACTGATGTCGACGGTGGTGGTGTTGGCGTTTGTTGGTGTCGGAATTGTGTATAATGTTGATGTGCATAGCAGACGCCACAACGGCTGACGTTGAGGCAGAGGAGGGGGAGGGCGGGGAGGGGAGGATGGAAGTGATGGTTCGGGAGGTCGGTCAGAGTTAGCTAAGGGCGTAGTGAGCGAGGGAGAGTTGGACGGATAGACGACGGCTGATGCAGTCCGAGTGCTGCACTTTGTTCGAAGGGGTCCAACAAGTCAAATTGGCGCCCGGAATGTCCACTGACACCGTGGGCACGTTGGGGGCGGTTGGGCGCTTGCGTCTCGAGGTGGGCATAGTTTAGATTTGCGGGTTTCTCGTTTGACTTCCGCGATGACGATGCGGTTTGCCTCGTAGATCGCTCCGCCTGTCTTCACTATCCCCTTCCAAGTCAGTCGGTCTGGAACGAGGTCTTCCCAGTTCGCCGGGTTGGTCTGCAGACGCCTCAGCGAGGTGTTCAGAGTGTCCTTGTATCGACGGATTTGGCCTTCTTGGCGGTATGAACCCGTTGCGTCATTTGGGTAGCCACTCGTCGTCCATCCGCACGACGTGGCCGCACCAATGCAGTTGCAGTTGTCTCAACATGGCGTAGATGCTGAGTATTCCCGTCCGCTTCAATACGTTAGTGTCGGGGATTCGGTCCTGCCACCCCAGCTTCAGTATCCGTCGAAGACAGCTGAGGTGGATGTGATTGAGTCTTCACGCCTGCTTCTTGTAGACAAGAAGCAGGATGACTGCCTTGTACATCTTCAGCATCGTGTTGAGCTGAAGACCGTGACGGTTCCAGACGATATTCTGCTGACGGCCGAAGACATGGGTGGCTTCGGAAATACGGCAGGCAATTTGGTCGTCGATTTTGGTGCTGCAGGAGGGAGTGCTGCCCAGATACGTGAAGTTGTCCACCACGTGCAGTTGGGTTCCGTTCATGCAAATTTGCGGCGCATTGTGGGCAGTGTTGGGTGGCGGTTGGTGCATGACGACCGTATTCTCCGTGTTAATGATCAGACCGAGGTTCTCGCAGGCGGCGGCGAAGAGGTCCATGCTCCTTTGCATGTCCCGTTCCGACGTGCCGTTGAGAGCGCAGTTGTCGGCAAGGAGGAGTTCGTAGACTGTCGTTATGGGTCCACGCGACTGAAGGTGCATCCGCCTGCGGGTGAGGAGGTGGCCGTCCGTCCTGTAGGCGATGCGGATCCCGGGGCTTTCGTCTCGGTAGGCGTCCATCAGCATGGCTGAGAACATAAGACTGAAGAGGGTGGGCGCGAGGACGCAGCCCTACCGCACTCCGTTGGTCACTGCGACTGCCTCTGAGACAGCTCCATTGTCCGTGACTCGCGCCATCATGCCATCGTGGAACTGACGCATTATCTGAGTGAATCTTTCGAGACGGCCGAATTTCTGCATGATTTTTCACAGTCCTTTACGATTTACCGTGTCTAAGGCTTTCGTCAGATCCACAAAGGTAGAGTAGAGATGGGTCCGCATCTCCTGACACTTCTCCTGCAATTGGCGGGCGGCGAAGATCATGTCCGTGATCCCACGATGACGGAGGAAGCTGCACTGGCTTTCCGGCGGAAGACCTTGTTCCAGGTGATTATTCAGGCGATTGAGAAGGCTGCGAGCGAAAATTCTCCCGACGATGTTCAGCAGGGAGATGCCTCGATGGTTGTCGCATATTTGATTTCCTTTCCGCTTGTATAGATGCACGATTGTGACGTCTTTGAAATCCCGCGGGACTTGAATAGCTCCGTCATATGATCTATGAGTTAGGAGCCACCGTGCTTATAAATTCCAGCAGGGATCGCGTCTGATTCGGGCGCTCTCCCGCTGGAGAGGTGCTGCACGGCCCTAATGTTTCGTGGAGTAAGGGCGGGGCTTCAAGGTCGACGTTGGTCTCCACTTGCGGCGGACGGGCGATGGCGGCGTCGGAGATGATGGAAGGACGGTTGAAGACGCCTCGAAAGTGCTCGGTCCATTGCTGTAGAATTTGTGTCCTCTCGGTGAGTAGGGTACTGCCATCGGCGTTGAGAAGAAGAGCAGTTGCTTTGGTTGGCAGACCGTAGACAGCTTTGATCGCGAAGAAGTTCTTCCGTTCGTTGCGGTCCGCGTACCCTTGAATCTCCTAAGTCTTGCGAGCCGTCCAGGTGTCCTGCTTCTCACGGAGTCGCTGTTGCACAAGGCGGCGACCATGGTAGAATGCAGCTCTCTTGTCGTCGGTAGGGCTCTTGAAGTAGGCTTTGTGCAGATGATTCTTCTCGGCGAGTAGGTTGCTGATGGCGGCGTCGTCATCGAACCAGTCATAATGTTGGCGGCGTGCGCGACCGAGGACGGCCAACGCCGTCGGCTGGACTGTGTCCCGCAGTTGACCCCATCGGTTCTCTACGGAGGCGTTCTCGTCAGCGGCGGCGGCAGCGGCGACTGAAAAGTTGTCTAGCCGTTGAGCTAGCTCGTCGCCTGAGGTCTTCTAAAAGGCAGTAGGCGAATCTGCGTCTTCGAGTTGACGAGGCGATGGTTGGTCTACCCGTCAGCACCCGGAATCGCCTTTTTCACCAGCACGTCTCGCTGGTCTCGCTTACGGACGATGACATAGTCCAGCAGGTGCCACTGGCGCGCCCGAGGATGCATCCAGGTGGCCTTTTCTCGCATCGGGAGGCGGAAGAGGGTGTTCATCAGGATGAGTCGATCTGCGCAGGTTCGAAGAGGGAGCAGGCCATTGTCGTTAAAGCTGTGAAGACCATGGGACCTAGCACTCCTCTCCAGGCAGCATGGTCTGTGCTGGCGCGGGCGTATAAGTCATTAAGGACAATCAACTTGTCCGCCTTCGACACAGTCGTCAGGAGGGCATGCAGTTCCTCATAGAATTGGTCTCTTGTGGCGCCGGGGCCGGTCATCGGCGGAGCGTAGACGCTGATGATAGTGGCGAATTCGCCTCCCCGAATAGGCAGGTGGAGGCTCATCAGACGATCGTTGATTCCCTGCAGCAGACAGGACAGTCGTCCCACAATGTCGTTCCGGCTGGCAAAGGCGACACCCGCGTCGCGTCGCCCCGCCCTGGGGCGACCGCTCCAGAAGAAGCTGTAGCCGTCACCCACCCCTTCCAGTTGGCCTTGTTCGGAGAATCGGGTTCCGCTTAGTGCTGCGATGTCCGTCTTGCAGCGCGCCAGTTCCCGATTCCCTGGCGCCGTCCTCCGTTCCGGTAGGTTGCTCCTCGGATTGTTTAAAAGGCAACGAACATTTCAGGCCGCCAGGGTGAGCGGACTCACCCTACCAGTCTGGTGAGTGGGGCGGCGGGATGGAGGAGGAGGAAGAGTGTATTGTTGTTGCTTCTTCTTTGGTTGTTTTGACCGTGAGTTTAACGTCTGCGACCACGGCCAGCCTGCAGACGGCGTGGTTCCTTAGAATTTGTTTTAGGACGCCTTTTCTACCCCCTCCCTCCTTGCGGGTGTGAGCAAATCCACCCCAAACAGGGCTGCTCAGTTGTGTCAGGCGCTGCCGAACTCCACTATGGGTCACTTCTTTGGTGTAGTGGGTGGACGACCTGAGTTAGCCTTGAGAGACTACAACATCGCCGTAAGCTTGTGGTCTTCTGCGATGTACCAGACAGAGCCTCGTCTCGACGATGCCGATGCGAGGTTCCATCCGACCAGCGGAGTCCAGAATACCGTGCGCACAGATGCGCACATGGATACCCTCACCCTGTTTAGCCCGACGGTCCAAGCGTTACCGGGGTGTGGCCGCTAGGCAGAGTCTAGCTTCGGGGAGCCACATGTGAGAGTTAGGTGCCAGCAAATAGACGCTAGTTGTAGTCTGCACCTGCAGGCAAGTAAGCGACATGCGCCTGTCACGTGAACCCACCGCTGGACGCCCCCACACCCCTATAGAAAGTATACACAAAAGCATTTTGCACTTGAAGGGGACTTTTTCCAGTTTTAAAGACGCTTGTAATTAGGAGATGCAGTTGATGACTTAGCTCATGAAATATAGATAATTCAGAGATGTTTTGAGAGATTTTGAATAATTCATATTGACCCAACTGTGAAAAACTCGGTGGGATTCGAACCCACGCAGTAAGGGGGAAGGCTTTAGTACAGCCAACGCTCTAACCACCTGAGCTACGAGGCCCCGCCGGGCGACGCGAGTTTTATCACACTGGGGTCAAGTTACCCGCCCAACCTACTGCAACGTCTGGAATCCACCAAATCTGATACAGTAAGTTGACTGCCCAAGCAGGATTACCTAAGTAATTCACCCAGAATCCACCAGATGACTACCAGGCTCATGTAATTCAGAGATGTTTTGAGAGATTTTGAATAATTCATATTGACCCAACTGTGAAAAACTCGGCGCCTCGGTGGGATTCGAACCCACGCAGAAGTAGCCGAAGCCCTGCCCAAGTATATTGACCACAACTTCCAATTACAAATGAACCTTCATTTAAGTGAAAGTGCAAAAGAGCTGTTTAAAGTATCATTGCGTCTAGTAGACAGCAGTTCTCTTAAGAGAAGTGGAAATAACAGAAGTTCGAATATTTGTGTCAAATAAATAACCTTAATTTGTGGGAGTACAAAAAGCTTTTCGACGCGACCAACTTGAAAATAAAACAGCATAAAGATGTTAACGTTTAAAAAACCCGCAATACCTGCACTCCTTAGAAATTGGTGTAATATGCAGTATGGCAGCTAGTCAACTGCATGCTGTTTGAAAATGTGTCTCGGAATGGTGTTACGAGAATTCGATGCATTTTTTCGCTTTTGCACTGTTCGAGATGCCATATTTTAAGACTCAACTGGACGTGGGACCTAGCCACCAAAGAAGACGGATGTCCACAACAAAGACGTGTAATTATTATGCCCTTGAGCAAATGATAAACCTCTAATACGTTATCTGTCCAAAATTGCTTTACTAGGGTATTTTATTGTGCCTCTTCCATTTCTAACTTGCATATCAGCAGAGTCTGGACTGCTGACAGTGCATCTTGCCATATGTTCATAAAGTCAAAGTAACCGCTCAGTAGTCGATCTTTTCGCGGTTACTTATAGAATACACATATTTGCCTGAAAATTATAGGCGTGCCAAATAACAGATTACCTGTGGCCATCTCTGCCGAATTATACGGCAAACTGATTCCCCTATAACGTGCCATGCATGCGGGAGTTGCGCCGAGCCAACACGGGGACCGTATTGGGGCACTTCACACGTTAACCGTGATGCGCATTCAGCACATCCCACAACACATGTCACTCCTGGCGAGGGGGAGTGCAGTGGCATGCCCCGGCGCAGGCCCACACCGTGTCGGTCACTTGCGCTCAATTCTCATATAAGATTGCCAACTGACTCATACAGTGCAGTAGTGCTTGAGAGAAGGAAGAGAGAATGGGGTCGATCTCGCAGCACCTTTTACTGTAGATAATCTGGCGTGCCTGGATATATCATGGTGCGCTAAAAGCCGTAGCTTTGAAGGCTGCAAACTGACGGGATAACTGGCTCGTCTCCGGAGGACAGGAAGTCGGACAGCAGTGGCTTCTTCTGTGACATTTCCACTCGGTCGGGATCCGAGCCGCCATCCTCTTGTTTGTGTGAAAACCTGGTACATCGTTCTCGAACCAGGAGTGCGTGACACGCATAGACGGACTGTTCACCTTTGTCAGCCAGTGCGCCCGACCCTGCCTCCGGTCTTCTTGACTCTATGTTGAATCCGGCCTTGGATAGGTGAGGGAAAAGAGAGTGCGTTAGATGCGACGGAAGTCTACTATCGTTATAAACAAATTTGCGCACAAGTCGCCCCTCCTTCTGCGTTCACCCTGCTGTGGGGCACACTGTGGACATCGTCGGAATCAGCGGTCGAACTGCCGGTATGCGTGGAAGATTTACTTGGTTTTCCCGACAGAGCGCACATAGTAGAAAAATGATTGTCGAAAATTCTCTTTTGTTGATGACCGGACGTTTTAGTGGGCACTGGGTTGTCCCTTAACCGCTGGACTTTATAGTCCTCCCAAAATTCGGCTTGCTTACATTTTCCTGTAGATTGCATACTACGTGCTGTTCTGTTTTGCCCACTACTCAGTCGGACATCTTTATTGCCAGGTTACTAGCCGTCCTTTTAACTGCTGCACAAATTGAACATCATTGACCTCCCAGAGCGTACTTACGCTCCTTTATACTTATGCTTGTCTTATGCTTATCTTGCCTTCCCTTTTGTTCTTCAGTTTCCGCGGAGCCTTCCAGGCGATGTGCTCAGGTTCCAACACAACTGTTTGACGAAACCTCTGCAACTGGCAGCCTTTTCACCCTTCAATTGCCCGAAAGTCTTCTCGCAGAAGTGAGTCATTTCGTTTCTTCGCCCCCCCTTCCGTTGTAGTGGCTCCACCGCAAAAAGTGTTGCTGCCTAATGTATGACATTACAAGTTAGAAACTCACGTTTTGGCTTACCCATCTTTTGACTTTTTCCTGGCTTTTATTGGTGCCTTCTGACATCTGTCGTTGTACCTACTCACGCACGAAATCCAATCCAACCACACCCCTACTGCCATGGTGATTCTTCGGTAATTTGTCCGTCCCAAACGACGATGACCATCACTTTCCTGCTGACGGAAAGCTGCAGTGATTGGCACGTGGGGCGGGCTTTCGGAGCACCTGTCGGGCCATCTTTATACGCCAATCGTAATGGAGTGGTAACGCCAGATCGAACCAACTGGGAACATACCTGGGCCCACTGACGTAAAACTAATCTTATACGGACTTCAGACACCTGGCGGTCCATTTTCGTCCACCAATCAGAGCTCATAGGAGAGGACTCTGGTATGTGTCCTTGAAGTTACCATCCTAAGATGGAAAAAGATTCGCGACAAAGATCTTCCAAACGTTACGGCACGGGACAATTGCGGATGCGTGCATCGTTGTTTAGTTCGCCCGACTGAACTTACCTTTCCTTTCAAGCGTGCAGATCACTGTCAGCTTAAGTGTAGTAAGTTGCGAGAACTACAAATTCAGCCCATCTTACAGAAGGAAAATAGCCAGCCCCCCCCCCCCCCGAATAAAGTAGGCAAGTGTTAGTGAGCTAGTGGGAGGGGAAAGTGGTGAATCTGAACGGTATTTCGCTAAGGGACCGAGTTATCTCTACACGCTTGTTAGCTAGCACCGCGTGATAGGCCAAAGACGTGTTTGTTTATAGGCAGAATAGCATTACTGACAAAGACAAAGGAGACTGGAATGACCAATTCTGGCTTAATGGCCGTCGTTAGCCAACTCCGACGTGTGCAACTACTGGGGCTCGATTCCGCGACCTGTTGGTTAGAAGTCCAACGTCCTAACTACTGAGCCACGGGCTCGTCCTTTAGGTTGTGTTCGGGTATATACAGTAGTAGAGGGGCGCTCACCGATGGCTATACGGAACTCACTCGTTTCGCTGTGCCTTGGGGCTCTTTCTTCGAGCTCCATCGACCTTCCATATTACAGTTGCCTGTCCGGATCAAACCGGGTGGACACGAGATTATGCACAGTGGTTGGCGTGACGTGCCGCCGACGATTTACGTTTGCTGTTAACGGGCTCAGAATTCACAGGAGCGAGGTGTCACAGAGCTCACTCCAAGGCGTTATTACAGTCTGAATTTCATCCCAGTGGTGAACCAAGCTATTGCATCGGCTAGTAAGCTCTCAAGCTACGATTTTAGTGCCCTTAGATAGTCTCGATCGCGTAAGGTTTATTATAATGATAAATAGACCGCGCATTACCACGGGTAGGATGCCTCAGTATCCCTTCTGCTCTCGCTGTCCGTGTCAATGACTTGTCCGAGCTTGTTGACCAGCTGGCGTTGAGATTGAGCCTAGCGACTGACTTGACGTGAGCTTGTTTAAGGCTGGCGCGAATGTACGGCAGTAGGCATTCATGCCGACCCAGCTCAGTCTAACTAATGCCAGGTCGTAAACTAATGTGAAGTCTGCTTTGGTGAGGCGGTAA